GCATACGAAATACGTGAGTACGAGAGTTATTAGTACTGATTACTGAAGCTACCTTGTTATCTTAGGTGGTAGAGTATGCTATTAATTAGAACGCGATGCCTAGCGTACGTGCAGGCCGTCTCAATGGTGTAAATACTCTGTGGCTAGGCACGTGCCGGCCGGCCCACGTTGTAAGGCTCCTTATCTCATGAGAGTAAGACTATTAACGCATGAGGGAATACGCATTTGGTCCTGCAGACGTTACTATAATAGCATTTTTGTTTGCACCGGCTGGATTTCTAGATGCCTCCTATTATACCCGGAGATGCATTTCGGCAGTAAGTCCACCGGGCCAATTTAGGGTGAGTGCGGGACCTCTGATTAGTGTATGTACTCCGTGCCTGGGCTCGTGCAACCCCACCGCGTTAGAATATTCCTGCATACTCTCGTCTATAATTTTTGAGGGTGGGCGGATACATGGTGTTGCATCTAGATATACAATGTATCTGCATGAAGGAGAGTTCTGGGCAACTTTTATTGTGCATGACGGTTATGTATTCTGGGTCCCTGCGGGCCCGTTTCTAATTAGGGCCCCCTTCATGGGAGTTACGTTTTCGGCGTAAGGACTGCGGTCCAAAGTGGGCCCGTGTATGCCGACTGACTCTTGCAGACCTTCGTTTAGTTCTACGTATGAGGGTAGGGATTGCACAGGGGGATACGTTACCGGGTGGCATATGGGGACCTGGACGTGAGAAGATCATTTGTTCTCGCCACGTAGATTGGTACTGTTAGAGGCCTTGATGACCCTGGTCCCTGACGATTTGAAGTGAGTGATATTAATGGTTATGATCGCTTGATTTAGTTTATTATCACTGTGCCCCCCACACATGAAAGAATTGACTGAAGTTTAGTAAATTATGGCATCGATTCCGTACACTGGTGTCCCATACAGTTCTTTGTACCTACATGCCGATAAAAATGTAATTTTGTGGTTTGGATTATTATTCGTTTCGAATTTATTATTGAGGATGCGTACATATTGTGTTTGTTAAATGCATTCTTGTTCTTAATATAATTAATTCAGTGCAGTGATGTATTAAAGTTCTATATTCTATCATTTTTTTAAAAACATAAAAAATAGACATACAGCGGCGGTCAGTTTAAAAAAAATGTTTGAATGCCTCGATAAGAAGGTGGCAATTGTTGATTCTGATTTTACCCTCTGATTATCCTGGAAAAAACTTCATTCAAGCGCATTAGTACCTATAGATGGCCCGTATGAATTAAAGTAAGCAAATGCTTATACTTGCAAAATTCAAAGTAAATACTAGCAACTGCCCCTTTATACTGGTTTGTTGAGCAGCGCTGCACTGCGTCCTGTCCTTCTGCTTAGCAGCGCTGCTAAGTCGCACAGTGCGAAGGAGCACTTACGAGTATTTACTTTGAATTTTGCAAGTATAAGCATTTGCTTACTTTTATTCATACGGGCCAATAATAAATCAATAGTTCCGCTAAGTTGGACCCTACTGATCCTATCCTTTGTAGTATGGGCCACTTGTTAAAAAATGTTCTTACAGGTATCATGAACGAAAAAATAATACACCTTAACAAACAAAGACACAAATACCTATGCAAAAATTGCTGAACAATCTTTCGTCTGGGTACAAATATCTAAGAACTGTGTGAACGCTCCTAACGCTACATTATGCGTGTCACTCTGTAATTGGGCGCATGCCTGTTGAGGGCCCAAAACAAGAGAGGGATAATAAAATAAAAAAAATAAAATAAAAATAAAACGCTAAGTATGTAATAAGTGGTATCCCTATTATTTACATAAATTAATTTATTTTCGTAATATCCGCATTTATCAGGATGCCAATTTTTCGAAGGCCGTGTAGGTATATTTTTAATTAGTAATGTAAATAAATGTCTACTTATTCATGTTAATTTAATTATTATTTAAAAGTGAACGGTTTTTTTAAAAAGAATTATGATTATTATCTTGTTTATTATCAGGTATGTTAGACAGGGTGAGTTTTTCCCAATGTGGATCTCAGACACTTTTTTTGCTCAGTTTACTTTTCAGAATTTTTACACCCTTTGCAAGAACATTTCAAACGGCGCATAGTATTAATTAATTAATAGTGTTAATATCGATATCGGCAGATAATTGATGGTAAAGTCGGAAGTGATTGCGTTTGATAAGCAAAGAATTTTGGTTTGAGAATTCTTCTTGCGATGTACTTACTGCCCCTAAGTTAGCTCACTTGTCATACTTCAACCATTCCTAGCTACAACAAATTATAATATTCATAAAATTAGTAGATTTATTAAATCACGGCATCGATCCCAATATCCCAACTTGAGATATAGGTACATATACCAGTAGATTTACAGAATTGCAACATTTAAACTGTTCATAATTAAATATTGCAAATAAAACCACTTGTATTCAAAACTATTTTCGTATATATTGTCTCTTTGCATTTGAAATAATCGTACACAAACCTTTTCTCAGTTTACATTTTAATATAGTCAGACTTTGTATTTTCGTTTTAAATACATTTTTAAATTTATTTTATAGACCCCTGTCATTCGCAAAGTTGAATTGTCCGGATGATCGTGGTAGTGAATCATAACTGAGTCGCTTAATACCGGAAAACTTAAATTTCAAGATCCAACTGATAGCTATTAAGAAATCTCAGAAGAATGTGAAAATAACAAATAGAATGTTAGATGTACTTGCACGGCTCTTCTACCTTTGTCTGTGGAAATCAACGGAAACAAATAGTAATATGAGAAATTAATCTAATCATACTTAACAAATAGATTCCAGATGTGTAAGAATTAACAATACTTTATCTGAAAAACTTTGTATTACTAAAGGTGTGCCACAAGGGAGTATTCTCGGGTCACTCTTGTTTTTAATTTACATTAATGATATGCCGGGATATATTTCAAGCAGCGACAATTGCCTACTTTATGCTGACGACGCGACATTGCTTGTGGGGTCTAAACATATTGATCAGGTAATTCATCAGTCCGATTTAATGGTTCAACGGGCAAGTACTTGGTGCGAAACAAACATGTTAACTATCAATAGCACTAAAACAGCATCAATGATATTATCATTACGTTCTCATAACTTACCAACTCGACTAAATTTTGATACTCACGCGGAAGTTATTCGAGCAAAAATATGCAGGAACCTTTTTGTTGTACGCAGATTAGCGGAAAACGTTACTGCTCAAATTTTAAGGATTTTGTATATTCTTGCGCATTATTTTTCACGAAAAGTTCCGCTAATGGCGGCTAGAATTCTGCCCGTCTGTGGTTCGTATAGCACACCCACGCCACGGTAAATAACAAAGTAATATAACAACAAAAAGAAACAAACGATTACAAAAATGGTATAGACTATGAAATATAATCCACTTCTAGGAATTCTTCAATCGAATAGAAGACATTGTCTAGCAAAAAGGCTTTAATTTTGGTTTTTAGACATTTTATTGGAAGATCGCCAACATCATGTGGTAGCTTGTTGTAAAATGTTTTGCGCATATTTTCAAAACTTAGAGAACTTTTAGTCAACCTTAAATCCTTGTGAATTATGTTATATCCTCTAGTTTTATATTCATGCATGCACTGGCGAGTAGCATAGTTGTAAACACGACGTTTAAAATTCCAACAACAAAGTTTAATCTACAAAATTGTTTAATAGCAAGCTACCCCAAGAAGCACTTGGGAATGTAAAAAATCACATCGCTTTCCTCCATACAGTTACAGATTTCGATACAATTCCTTCACTATTCAATTAAGGCAAAAACCAAGCTTTTAAACTTTGCAATCGAACGAGACACTAAGGCAAAAGGTTTCTGCATTCAATGATACAAATTCAACTGAAGAATACGAGTATAATGCTCAATAGGGAGATTACTTCCTCAAACTGTTATATAACGGGCGCGTTTCTTCAGATGACTTTAATGGAACTAGATTTACCTTTTATAAAAAAAGGTTATAGCTAAACAACCAGTTTGATCTCTTGGTACTACCACCAACATCTGGAGCAGCAAGGATAGTTATAGAGTTTTTCACCAAGTTTAGTCTTTGCATGGGATAGACTTTCCTGCTACTGACTGGGGATGGTAGAAAAATATGCGGAAAATGCAATGGTGAAACATGCTGCAAACAGACCTTCCATACTAGTTGAAGAGGACGAAGAGGCCGATGTACAAGATTACTCATTTTATAATACTCAACCCAACGAACCTGGACCCTCCAGATTAGGCAACTAAACTGTTTGAGGTTTCGGTTTTTGAGATATTAAAGTCAATTTTTTGGCAGAACTACTTTTTTATATAGCTTCCACGATGGCCGTGAATGGTGGCTGTCCACCAACATGCATGTGCTGCAAGACTATAGAATTTTATTTACTTATCCATTAGGTACGTTCACACAAATTTTTAGCTTTATATTTTGTATTTAGTTTGAATAAGCTAATTACCCTGGACTACACATATAGAATGCTAGTCTCGAAGTTGTATGTAGCGTTAAGATGAAACGCTTAGATGTTAGCCGGCGGAATAGTCAAGAGAAGGGAAGGGCGAGTAACTTTGAAATGCGGTAGTTCCCGAAAGTAAATTATTAGTGGTTTGCCATTGGTAGTGGACTGGTTATACATATATTGAGGATGATGCTCATACGTCGACGTCGGTTGGTAATAAGCAAAGAGGTAAGAACTGTTACCCAAATGCGATGTAATTCGTCCGTCTGTCCGTTAGCACGATATCTCGAAAAGAGAGTTAAGAACATCGAACCATCACAGTCAATACAACGGCAACGTCTGCAATCGGACCAAATCCTAATTTTATAGAATGAGTATAGTGTGTGTGATTGTGCGTATATGGTTAAAGCTAAACATTTAATATATTAGGACGGTAATAGAAGAATCCTTGCTCTACTGCGAATGTTACGCTAAAGACGCTAAAGTCTAAACAAAGGCACAATTAAGTACATTTGAAATATAATAGTATTTAATAGCAGTTAAGAAAAGTTAACATTTTATAGGGGATTAGCAATCTTCCAAATTATAATCTGAAACCCCAATGAGATGTAAACAAAGGCACAATTAAACACTGTGTACTGTAGTAGTACTTAATTCCGCAATGACATTTGTATATTCATAGCGAATTATATTCATAGCACATAATAAATTTCTTCCATGGGGATCGTATGGGGATGATTTTTGTTCGCTAGACAGACCAGTCGACCATATTAATAATGCAAGGGATTTTACCATTGGATCTTAAATGCCGACTGTCACATTTCTTTCTTGAGAATACTGCAATCTCTGCAAAATGAAATAATCTTTTATCACAAAACAAACTCGTTTTTATTGCCGTTTGCTATTAATAGCCTACCTACTACTTTATCCTTATCAGCAAGGATATTGCTAAAAATTGTCGGCATTAAAAATATATTCGTGTAAGTAGTTATAATTATTATGCACTTTAAAAGGAAAGGCGTTAACTTAATTGATATTAATTACCCAGTTTCAAATTTAAACATTTATACGTTTTCGAAAATGCTTTTAAAGTGGGTACACGAATAAGGTTATCTCTATTGCCACGGCATAAATAGCGTTAAACTTGAACTTGAACAAGGCTATTATTTTGCAAAGTTATTAACGCATTTGTGAAAATAACACAATAAGTCTAAATGTAGAACTTTAGCTCGATATAATAATTTTGACATTTCAGAAATTGCCTTTTTTGCACGATTTTGAGGTCATGGTATAGGTTTTTAAATCGTAAAATCACTCACACTAAAAGTTTTATTGCGATAATTAATGGTCCCCCACGTAATTTGCCGTGCAGTTATGTTCATTTCAAATGTATATAATTACCTTTCCATTTTTTTACGTTACGTTAGACCAAGAGATGCGTTGGATGGACGAAGCTCGGCCAAACAGGATATGCTTAAAATTTCGCAAAACCTAGTTCGCCCTGACAACAATTTCGATTGCCTATGTAGTTGGAGAGCAAGGACCTAAAACAAATCAAATCAAGAAACGATAAGGCAAAACAAAGCCCCATTTCCATACACTAAAACAATCGATTGCAATGGCTGTCGATGGTAAATATTATGTCACACTTTTCAATAAAAATTGATGGAAATTAGTGCAAAGTTATACGGTTTCTATTATTTTTTAGCTCAGCTTAGGCTACTAAAGTTTGGGTATTGCATGCACCTAATCGTTTATTTTATCAGTATCAATGTAAAATAATACATTATGTAGCACAATTTTTGTGGTACGTCGTCCTCGAGCTCTCGTTTATGTAATAACCCATGCAGTCGGTAGTTATTGTAAATTGCTTAATTTTAAAGGTCACTCTAAAAGTTACCTTGCGTGTTCCCATCTAAGCGACAAACGCACATAATTTTATAAGGAGTAATGTAATTTACAGTTTTATGTACTTACGTAATATCGATGGTATTTTCTCAGTAATAAAAATAAATAGATCGATAAACTAAAAACACTAAAAACAGCACGTGCATTCACTGCGTAAATAATAGCGTGAGATTTAAAATTTTCGTTTGAAAGTCATCGCGCGGGCACACACGAAACGTGCAAAAAATCGCGAAATTGCTAATACATTCTGCATATAGGTATTGGGGACTGGTTTTGGAGAGGTTTTGGTACTAATAGATAGCTAGATTCGTCGACTACTACAGGTTACATAACCAAGGTCAGATCGCACATTTACACATTTCAATGCACTTCCCCAATATGGTAATGATTTTGCTCTCTAAAAAACTTATTTGTACGAAACTGGATAAATTGCTTTGCTACAGATTTAGATTTGTGAGACTAAAACTTATCACTCACATGGCACTTACCAGGCGTAGGTAATTGTTTGTTTTTTTTTATCGCACACGTGTTCGTACATTACCTTTTAGTTTACCCCAGTGTAAGAGCGACAAATAAATATGTACGTAATTTATTGTTAGTCATTTGTCCATTCATTTGCATATTCTATTTTATAAATTCTATTCTGTGGTTCTTCATGTTTCGCATTAGAAGCCAGTATCATAAGCTCCCTTGATTTCCATACAATTTTATGTTGACTACTTTACTTCACAGATTGTAACGCAATTTGTTTATCAATTGAAGGTCTATTGTGTAACAAGGTTAGTTCTCACCACGTTTTATTGCACATTTATTCGCAGCATCTAATTACTTGTGCGCTATTGCTTTTTTTATTTTTGAAAATTTATGGGCCATTTAATAATAATATTAATAGTTTATTTACGGATAAAACCAGTTCCAATTTACAAAAAAAAGAATTAAATAAATGATTTAAATTTTTGGTGGTAACTCCCCAGTAAACACAGGTACACATGACTTTTACATAGATGTTATATATCGCTGTTACTTTGGAAATGTTGCAGAAATATAGCAGGCATTTTACTTGTAAACTACAGGCAATTTACAGTGTCCCACAAGTTATAATAAATTGAGGTTATATAAGAAATCATAAGTAATGCCGATATAACTTTATGGTATAACACCAAGTCACCAACATAACATAACGTAGTAATTGTTATATATGCAGTGATCTTTTTAAGAAAGTACAAACGTACAATTTCCGTATGTATACTTTTACATGGATCACATCAGAGCATTAGAAATCTTAGATCAGATTTTAGGGAAATTAAATAGCACATATACTGACCAAAGGTCACTCCAAATTTTGAAATTTGGTACTCATTTAACATTTTTATTGTAGTTGCCAACACGTGCACAGATACAAAAGATACAATAAATAAAACTTTATTCAACACAAAAACAAAAAATTAGTACCTACATTCATCACTGTGACGTAAACTTTACCACCCACACGTTAGTAGGGGTATTGGGGCAAAAAATGATCCCCCCTTTTTGGGCGGAAATACACGTTTTGAAGCACCAGGAATCCGAATCAAACAAAATCTCGATGATGTTAGTCGGTCCGTCTGTACTCGCATTTCTGGCTAAAGGGCTGAACCAATTGAAACCAAATTTGGTACACATATTTTTAGATATAAAAGAAATGTTTGAAAAGCTTTTAATTGTATCAACCAATGCACCAGTAACTAATTAAAAGTTAGATTTGAATATCTTAGGTCTAATTAGCAATATAGCAAAACGTTAAATAGTCAAAACAACACCAATATACAGGGTGGTCCAAATTAAACACTTTCTTTTGGAAACACTTTTTATTTTAAAAAATTGAAGAAAATGAACCTCCCAGCAAATACTATTTACGTTTAAAAAGAGTTTTAAAACTCTTTGAAAGGATAAATTCGGTATTGGTAGTATGGTATACGTTTTTGTGTGGACCGATTTTATACCTACGCTTAAAATACGATTTTTATTCATATATTTAAAATCATCGAGTTCATTTTCTACGTTGATAATACGTATGCATACAAATAACCGTTTTTTAGTATTCATTTTATAAACGTATGTAACACCACTTTAATATACGCATAACGTAGGTAGAATACAGTAACATCGGCCGGACATTTATGCGTACCTATTATATACGTAGGGTTGGTTTGTACAAACTATAGCTTTCCCGTGCGACTCGTTTTCGAGATCAGTGAGCCACGGGGCCTGGGGGGGGGGGGGGTAAAAATTAATTTTATTTCTCATTGTATTCTAATTAAAGGTCTCAACGAAAGGAACCGAACCGTTTTCTACCAACTACTGCCCTTCTTTCTGTCCTCTTATTAAAGTACGGAGTGGAGGGGGAGGGGGGGAGAGTGGAAGTACTTTTATCCTTCATGGTCCTCTAATGAAAGGTCTCAACGAAAGGAATTAATTTCTACCAACCATAGCCCTCCTCCTCGACCTCTTATCGTGATTGGGTATATTCCCTTATACATACTTCAAAAATAGATTGTCGGAAGAGGGTACTCACAAAGGGCGATTGAGACGTCTGCAAGAAATATATCCATTGGTGATGTCAAAACAAAACCTATTTCGGTTAAAAAAATGCGCTATATCTGCACAAGAGTTGTGCACAATTTATACTTGTTTAAATATCTCTGAACAATCCGTTTTAGTAATACTCGTAATGTGTATTTCCCATTGAAAATGATACGAAAATTATCTATTTCGTTCACCCATCGAGAAATGCGACCGACAATACACATGATGCCCTTTGCTGCCCCAAAGTTTCTCTCAAATTATACAGAAGAAATTGCACACTGGCACATGCATTTTTTCCACTTATTAGTAGTCTGCATACTGCATAGTGTCCCAATTTTAATATGCTTTTTTATCTGTAAGAATATTAGAACCATTTTCTCGGCCCACCTTTTCAAGGAATTTTGATCCTTTTTGCCCACCAATTTCGCAATTACAGAGTTAAAAGACTCCGCATTATTATTTGGCAATTTTTTTAAATGATTGTAGTAGTTTCTTAGTAAATGGATTTTGCATTCGATTTCTACAAGTAAATGGTTAAATGGTTTTTTTACAGTAAGTACTACGAGTACTATCAGCATCACCAACTATTTACTGCTGTGCAAACTACCTGGTGGCCTAGTATGACCCGCACCAAAATACAAAATGCTGAAATGCCCCCCCCCCGCAGAACTTCAGGCACTTATTAAAATAAATGAGACTGTCACCGCACTATTCGTTATCTAAAATGACTTCATAAGCAAGATTTACAAACACAATTTCATTGCATTTATTTCCATAAATAGCTTAGGTACTCGGCTTGCTCAAATTACACACGACTCTAAATTTACTGGGTTCGTAATGACACACACGTTAAACATAGAACCCAACCCTAACTTTTCCCAACACTACCTAACTTAAATCTACCGCAACAAATTCAATGTTCATCAAACCCCACAGATGTACCCAATAACCCAAATAATGAAAACAAAGTCACTTACTTTTTAAACATTATACAAATAATTTCTATGGATAAGAAAATTGGATAGAAGCAGAAAATACCCGTATCTTTATCATCTACAATGTCTTCTCAATTTAAATGAAAGCAATAATTTCGTATTTTTACCATGGATTAGATCCACTTTAAATAAAAGACGAACCTCCATATCTTGAAAACTAAAGTCGGAATGTTTTCAGTTACAAAACGGTATTTTGTTGAGTATCAAAATACGCCACTTTGCCAAATCTAAACTACCTACTTATCGTTTACAGTTTTCGAGACCCCATGGTGGCCCTAGAGTTTGAATCAGCCTGTATAAATATCCAAAAGTTCTCAAAAACAAAATAAAATACGATCAATAGTTGATTATATAATGAAAGGAAGTACTCACATATAATCGTAACAATCTTACCTTGAAATAAACTCGGTCGCTGTAGAGAGCTCTCCTGTAGCAGGTTCGAACCTGTAACACAAATAAAATCCACGAACCTAAACTCGGCGGTACAGTGGTTAACTAATTTATGCCTGAAGGGTCAATACATATCATTCGTGTCCGTAAGTCCAAGATCGAAAACATACGCACTCGCCGTAGTAATCGGAAGAATGCAGCTACCGCGTTCAAGTCGATCATGCATCGTTAGGAATGACGGTAAATTACTACCCAAGTTATTTTAACAATTGCGATTCAAAAATGTATCCCTTTAAGAGGTAGTTAACGATACGCTTTATAACACACAGAAGTAAACGAAGGTATCCCCTGGCTGGCTAAATCTCTCAGTGGAATCAAGCTGTGCATAATTTCCCAAAGGTCGAGGTGGTCGGTGCAATCAGGAAAATAGCTTCAAGGTGGGCGTCGTCTAATTAATTGACATCTTCGCACGGAAACACCCCGGCTGTCTTAAGACCCTCGAGCTGGGATGGTATTGTTCAGCGAGGGGTACCCAGAGGAATCCCAACCGCACCTACCTCTAAGTTGACGAGAGAGCGTAGCAACCAATTAATACGAATAACGATGTAACAATTATTAAATTACGTCGGTTCAACTGTCAGCTTGCATGTCTAGAAAGAAAATGCCCCAAGATAAAGAAAGCATTAGCAAATGGCGAATCAGTTACGTGTAAAATTCCCATTCAGATCCCCAATAACGAGAAAGGTGCACATCCAAACGAACTCAATTTCTAAGTCACAATTAAGCGGTCAATCGTCAAAGATAGAACGCTTTTATGTACAGGTTAAATCCCCTTTAACGGAATGAACACGCCATTATCTTTCAACCAACGTGTCGAACGAAAAGTTAACGGAAAAAGAAGCAATGGAAGTCGCTGTCATTTCTGCGCGGAAAATTGTGTGGTTAAATTTTATCAATAGAATTCAATCAAATCGCTTCAAATATTACGGGGGTTTTTCGACAAGTAGTAAACCATAAACAATAATAATGCTTCGTAATGGAGAAAATAAATCGTTACATCGCATTAGGTATTCAGTTCGCTGAAATGCTAGTATCTGGGGCACTTTAATAAGGTTTATTTTTTTGAAATTCCGTTAGAGACTCCGTGTTAGGTAGGGTATTTCTATTCAAATAAATTAAGCACTTTTTATTCTGTAAATCGAAGATAGAATGTGTCATTGGATTTTGTTATTTGCGTGCCAGAAATGTATCAGCGCCAGATTGGCGTACTATAAGGTCAAGTTCATAAGGAATGGGTACAGTACAGCTGAAGCATATCCTGTAGTTGGAATCATTTTGCGAATTTTGTTAAGGTGTAGAGGGACGAGTTGATTCTATGAGAGAGGAAATTTATCATTACAGGTCGAGTCGCCGTAGAGCTTGTTCATTGTGTGCAATCAGAATTATTTCGTTTTGAGCCGTCGAAGAGAACGAATTATTGGTAACCAAACAGTAATACGCGTTGAGCAATCTT